TACTGTTCGGACGTTGTGCCTCGATATGGCTAGTGACGTTTTGATTTCACCGTTTGTTTTGGAACGCATAAGAATTGTAAGCTTTTAACTAATTTTTACAGTGTTAATTAATTTTATTGTTTTTGACCAACGCGATATTGTAACGATTTTATATAGTTTTTATTGTTAAATGTATTATTTTCTCTTTTGTTTAGTTTTGCGTTTGTCTTGACGTTGTCAGGACACCACGTCAACAATGCAATTTGTTATGCGGATCGGTGTAACTTAAATTAAAGCACTTGAAAAGGACCGGAATTCGGTCGAAACGTCGTGCAATATTGTTTTAATTGGCCAGTTGGGTCGAAAATAAAACGACTTATTTTGAATTATTTGCTGGCGACGGAAATTGTTTTGTTTATTTATCGCACACCTTGGACCAGAAAATGGTGTTTCATCGTGACGAAGGATTTTTTGTCAACATCACTAGACGGTTTGGACGGAAGACAACGTTATTATTGAAGTCTTGGATAAAGATCAAACTCAAGGCTATCTCTGCTAATCAACAACTAAAATTTTTGCTTCGCTGTCGAAGATTTGATGTCTTACCTCCACACTTACACCGGCTGCAGTTTAATATCGAATTGCATAGTAATAGGGTAAAACACGAGTTTACTCTTTTTAAGAGACGCATACAGACAAAATTCCTCAATTTTGAAATTAATGATACTAATGTTAATTTATGTTTTATTCGTTCCAAGATTATTAGAATAGAGAACCAACTTCGTGCGCTCTTACCTGGTCATGTTGTCAACAACTTTTTCTATGCTAACAACGATTATTTTCATACATATGAACAAAAAATACAAAGAAAACTTATTAACATATTTAACTCAGTTATAGCTGCGCAAAACCCAGTTATTAATTCGTTAATGAATTTTGATCACAACAAATGGATTATCAATATTAGCAGCAAACAAATCCCAGATAGAGTACTGAGGTTTCTTAGTCTTGGCGATAGATTCGCTCTACCAGTTGACAACAATGACAGGAGAGATCGCATAGATTCGGTGGTTGACGTAATAAAAAATTTTGAATTCAATGTTTACCAGATCGCGGACGATATTGTTGACGAAGCGCGCAACCGTATTTCGAATTCGTTGTTTAAATTCTTGCGGACTAATAAGCATAAAAATTGTATAGAGAGGTTTATTTTGCAAGAGTTTAGATTTTGTAAAAGGTTCCTCCGTAACAACGATGATGTCTTTGTTACAAAGGCAGACAAGGGCCAAGTTACCGTGATCATGGATAAAAGTACGTATGTTAATAAGATGACTGACTTACTTAGTGACAGTTCCACGTACAAAAAATTGAAAAGCAATCCTATAAGAAAAATAACATCGAAAATCAACGAAGTGGCAAAGTCTTGGTTTAACATGGGCATCATCAATGAGCAAGTTTTTAGACATTTGAATTGTACTAATGGGAATCTACCGCGCAGTTACGGACTCCCGAAGATTCATAAAATTGGCTCACCATTACGTATAATTGTTTCCACTTTAGGCAGTCCGCTCTATAATATCGCCAGTCGTTTGCAAAACATTTTAGAAAAATCTGTTCCGAAACCTGAATCGTATGTTAAGGATGGTTGGTCCTTTGTAGAATTGATTAGAGGAGTGACAGTGGGAGACGGTGACGTTTTAATTTCGTTAGATGTCACTTCTCTTTTCACTAACATACCTAAAGATCTTGTTTTGAAAGCGATTGAAGAGAGATGGAATTACATTACTACAAAAACTGATCTCAGCCTTCCACAATTCTTGAGTGCTGTAGACTTGATCCTTAGTTTTACTAGTTTTATGTTTAACGGCCAATTTTATGAACAGATCTTCGGAAGCCCGATGGGGTCTCCCCTCTCCCCTATCCTGGCTGACATGGTCATGGAGGATTTAGAGAAACATTGTATACAGCGGCTCAGTTTCAGGATATCCTTTTTCAAACGATATGTGGATGATATTTTCGCGGTTGTTCCCGAGTCGGGTATTGGTGAATTATTAGACAGTTTCAACAATTACCACGATAGATTAAAATTCACTTACGAAATGGAAAGCAATGGTAAATTGAGTTTCC